GGAGGAGGAGGAGGAGGAGGAGGAGGAGGAGCTAGCACGCGACCGGCAGCTTGGCAACGGCATTGAACCAGGCCTTGCCATTATCGACCACAGGATCCTCAACTTCATCCCGAACATCACCTTCACGCACCAGACCACTTTGAACGTTTTTTTTTTTCTGGAAATGCAAAAAGAGTAGAGCAACTCGCCCAGCACGGACATCGCGGCAGCGCACCATCAGCGGCGCCCGATCTCCAGCAAGACGACATGCGACCTGGAGCTGAGGTACTCGACTACATACCACAAGAAAGCCCACGCTTGGACCCAACCTTCGCTAATTCAGTTGGACGGGTACCCGACCGAGCACAAGACGCTAAACAGCCCGAGACCTTGACCCAATAATACACAGATGCGTCACAAGATATTGGAAAGGTGTACATACCAACCTCCACCCCAGGGGAATGGGCGAAGACCTTGCACCAGTACCACTCCACGCACGCCTACCTGGCCGCTACTAGTCAGCAGTGGAAGAAAGCCACCGAGGAGCAGGCCGACGTCGCGATTCCGGAGTTCTTGAAGAGGAACCGCATCACCCCCTACATCAACCACATGGATTTACATCATACGGTCAGACCGACGCACATAACACACTACAGGAAGCCAGTGTGGGTGCGCACCGAGGAGGACGGCCACGAGCCAATGCACAGACGAGCGCTGATCGCAGTGCTACCATTGGAAGAGGGCAGAGGACATGGCGGAGAAGGACCTCCTCTGCCTCGCCCCCCCCAAGGTGGGCCATCTCGAGGAGCCAAGATGGAACACGTCGACCTCCTACGCCCTCCACGCAACAGATCGGAACGGCAACGTCTTGGACCAGAGCGCTTGGCATCGCTCGGACGTGTGCATTTTTTCGCGGCGAGAACCATCGAGGACTATCCTGGACCATGGACCATCGAGCAAAACAACACGCACGAAACCGACAAATGCACGGGAAATGGACGTCCGAGCAAGGGCTAGAGCGAGGCCTTGCCCTTGCTGCTGCACCTGACAGACACACTCGCTACCATGGGAGCCAAGGGCATGCACCCTCGTGACAACCGCCGCGTCCCCTGCAGTGGCCCCCTTCTCGATATCATCCTCTCGATCCGCCTCGAGCCTCGAGCCCCCTCCTCGAGTCCGTCCCCTCGGTGGCAAATCGTGGGAGCTTCGCGTGTCCTCACATCACCGTCTCTGCAGCGCGCTAGTGTGCTGTAGCGTCTGGCAATCGATGCGAAAGCGCCGCCTTAGCGACGACTGGCATCGACTCAGCGCCGACTGGCGCCGACTAGCGTCGGTCACTGTCGGCCAGCGCCGATTCACAGGAGCCAGCAAGATGGCCTGTGTGGCCCCCAGGAGTTGCCACTGAAGGCGACGAAAAGAGCCTGGACGTGGCCCAAACAGCCCCGACGCTCCAACAAAACACCAGCAACGCCTACGACGTGTGCATTATCGCTGCTGTGTCTTCTGTCCCAGGATGTCCCCAAAATGGCCCCGAGAGCATTCGAGAGCACCCAGGGGCGGCCCCAAGAGGGCTCCGAGAGGATGACTTCTGGGGCACCAGCAGGGGCGACGCTGTTGCGGACCCCCCCTCCTCCCCTGTCGCGTCGGACGAAAAGGGGGGGATAGGGAAAGGGGGGGGTTACGAAGTCTCCTGCATGCGGCTGGTCGCCGCCACGCCGCCGGGCCCATTCCTCGATACATGGCCGGCTCCCAGCGCCAGGAGGCGCCAGGAACGCCAGCTACGTGAGCTGATTCTCGGCCCTCCCTTTTGTCATCCGCCCCTCTCGTCGGGCCCGACTTTGGCCGGCGGCGCGGGGGAGACCTCGTGCCCACGGGCAACCCGTGAGCTGATTCTCGGCCCTCCCTTTAGCCATCCGCCCCGTTCGTCTGGCCCGACTTTGGCCGGCGGCGCGGGGGAGAGCTCGTGCCCACGGGCAACCGGGGGAGGTCGATGATTGCGTGGGGGCCCAGGGCCGCAGCCGGATCGGTGCCCGCAGTGGCCTCTCTTCCGGGGTGGCCTGCAGTCCCTGGGCGGCCGGCGGCCAGGCCCGCCAGGATGCCCCAGCGCGTTGTAGTTTGTGCTGTCTGCCCGTGTTTTGTGCACCCCGCGGAGGCGGCCGCGCAGTGGCGCGCCCGCGGCGCGGAGCTGGAGGCGCGCCTGCAGGCCGAGCTCTCCCGCAGGGCGGGGCGGCCGCGAGCTTGGATCCTCGAGCCTCGAGTCTTCGGGCCTGGAACTGTGGTCCTCGAGCCTCGATGCTCGACGTCCCTATCTGGGTCCTCGAACCTCGATTCTCGGTGTACGATCGCAGATCCGATCCTCGGCCCTTCGTGGGCCCCAGAATGCGGCTGGGCCGTTTTTTTTCGCCGCTTCCGAGACATGCATCTCGAAAACGGAAGCGGCAACTGGAAGCGGCTAACGGATGGTTCCGGAAGTGGAGCCGGAATTGGAACCGGCAACGACAACGGCGACGGAACCAGACAAACAAACGGCAAAGCGGAAACGGCACCAACAACAAAAAATGGCCCCGCCGTTTTCGGAATCGTTTTTCGCTTCGAGCCGATTTCCCTCCTGGCTTCCAGGAACAGGTCCGAGCGAACGGGGTCGGAGGATCACGCCGCATCGCCGATGCATTCGCGATACGGCTCCATGTGGAACCTCTTCTTCCCCACGTCGACGTCGCTGATGCATCGCCGAAATCGCCGATACCTTACGTATGCAACGACGATGCATCGGCGACGCAGTCTGATCCTCCAACCCCATCTGCTCAGACCCCTTCTGTGAGGCCTCTGCTTCCCCTTCCTTCCTCGCCTGGCCCTCCCTCCCCCGCTTTCAGGAGGGAAACAAACACACGGACGCAAAATAACCGCCGAATCCCGCGAAAGTAGGGGAAACTATGGGAAGTGGGGGGGAAGACAGGAGTCTAGAGAGTAAGTATTGGGAGTCTTTGGACTTGCGGTCTATTTGTTTGCGTGTCCTTGGGCCCCCTCTCGCCCTTCCCCCCACCCCTTCCCGCGTTTTCTTGTGTCTGGCCCCCCATTGCCGTTGTAAGATCTTACGGTCTGAGCGTGCCCCGCCGCCCGCGGATTCTTGTCCCTCGCCCGCGCCCTCTGCATTCTCCTGAAATGCTCAATTCGGCACCGAGGTGCCCCTCGGCTGTCCCGTCCGCGTCTTCCAGTATACGCCTAGGCCGCCGCTGACCAGAAAGTTTTGAGCTCACCCTTCCCCTCCCCCATTCCCTCCCTCCCTCGCGCCTTCCCTCCCTTCCTCCCCCCCTCCCTCTGCCTCTCTCCTTCCTTCCTCCCTCGCCCCTCCCTTCCTTCCCTTCCCCTCCCTCCCTCCCTCCCTTCCTTCCCCTCCTTCCCTCCCTCCCTCGCCCCTGCCCTCCCCTCCCCTCCTCTCCCACCCCCGCCCTCGAGCAGGCCCTGCGGGGCGAGCTTGAGAGGAAGGAGCACGAGGTCGTCGGCGCGGAGGCGGAGGCCGAGCTGGCGCGGGGCGCGAAGGATCGCGAGGCCGAGGCGACCCTCCGGCGGAAGGGGGGAGGAGGAGGAGGAGGAGGAGGAGGAGGAGGAGGAGGAGGAGGAGGAGGAGGAGGAGGAGGAGGAGGGGAGGAGGAGGAGGAGGAGGAGGAGGAGGAGGAGGAGGAGGAGGAGGAGGAGGAGGAGGAGGAGGAGCAAGAAGAGGAGGAGGAGGAGGAGGAGGAGGAGGAGGAGGAGGAGGAGAAGGGAGAAGAGGAGAAGGAGGAGAAGGCGGAGGATGACGCGGAGGAGGCGGAGGAAGAGGAGGAGGAGGAGGAATAAAGGAGGAAGAAGAGGAGGAGGAGGGGGAGGAGAAGCTAGCACGCGACTGACAGCTTAGCAACGGCATTGAACCAGGCCTCGCCATTATCGATTACAGGATCTTCAGCTTCATCCCGAATCTCACTTTCACGCACCAGACCACTTTCAACGTTTGTGTTGGACGAAAGAACCTGTCCGCTTCGCATTGCTTGGCATTTCTTCGGCATGAGCCACCAGGGGCGGGGAACCTGGGCACCCCGGGGAACGTGAACGACCCAATCGGAGGCACCAGGGGCGGGAAAACGGAGAACCCGGGGAACCTCTGGGAAACGGGCACAGTAACAATAGGAGTCACTAACCTTTACCATGTAAGAACCTTAAGCCTAATCGGGGAACGGCCTTCCGTCCTTCTGACGCATCATCAGGGGTGTAAGGAGGTATGATCATACGGTTGAGCGGTGTGTCTAGTATGATTCCCGTCTTTGGTGGAAAAGGGACCGCCCCGCATACGCCCAATTGTAACACAAGTTTGCACTGCTGCCCATGCAGCGTGAGGAAATATCAAGCAAGGGTCCTATCTTGAAAAAGAGCCACGCTCGGCCCGTGTGGCTGATACACATGATGACGTATTGGTTGAGGGTTTTATTTTGGTGACGTCACAGGCGAAAAAACTTGTTTTGCAGAGGAGCCATTATCCATCCTTGCAGCTGTTCCGAATTGTCGGAAGTGCCTATGTGCGACTCTGAGGGTGGAGCTTCCGTCTGAGAAGGAACCACCGTGTATATTTGTATTTGACTTAAGTTCTTTAGGACGAGTGTGCGCGGCGCCACGGCGAGAGCCATTTTGAAAACGACCCGCCCTCCGTCTTTCTAGTTGTTGCCAGCTTTCCAGCAGACGGTGCGCGGCGCTATGGCGAAGGTTCCATGTTGGAAGCGACCCTCCTCAGTCTGGGTACGTAGTGGTTCCCCTTTTCAAAATGAACTCCAGCTTAAAAGCGACATGTGCCCTGCCCCTGTTTCGATTGCCGCGTGATGTTCACAAATCAGAAATCAGCAAAAACGTCAACGTTCATGGACTCCAGATTTCGTTCCAGGAAATCAATCATCTGGTCTAGGCACTGGGCGTGAACTTGGAGCTTCCTCTCTTCGTAGACTGGGTCGTATCTCTGGACCCGAGCTGCGCTGTTTTTGTTTTGGAAGACGCGTCTTGGGTGACGCCCACCTCCTTGGCGTGGAGCTCTCCGAGCTCCGAGCAGGGGGGCGCGGGAGGGTCTCTGGCGCGTGGCAGCTGCACCCTCTCCCGGAGCAGGCCGTGCCTGTTCCCGGCGGGGGGCCGCCGCGGCAGCAGCGTGGGGGAACGGCACGGGGAGCGGCACCCGCGCCGCGGTCTCCCGCCCCGGGCGCGCCGGCGCCCCGCTCCAGGAGCAGGCCGCCGAGCTCGCGGGCTGCCAGGCGCCCGCCGCCCGCCGATGCCCGCCTGGTCCCCTTCGTCGCCGTCGCCGTCGCCGCCGGAGGGTCGGGGCGCCGAGAGAGAGAGGCCGCTGGCGGGGTTCGCAGGGGGCTCGATGCCCTCAGGTGTCCTCCCGTGGCGCGTCCTCGGGCCCTCCTCGTGCACCAGCTGGCGCCCTTGGGGGGGGGTCCAGCAGGGGCTTCGCGCCTGATCCAGCGCTCCCCGCGTCAGCACTCGGACCGAGGTCGCCCCGCGCTCTTGGCCGTGCCTGGCCTGGCCTGGGCCTCCCCTCCCGCAGGGTTGCGCAGGCGATCGCGCGCGCGCTCCTCGCGTCCCGGCCCGGGCGGGAGAGCGGCCCTTCTTCCAAGATGGCCTCGCGGGGGCGCGCAGACCACCGCGCGTCGCGCACCGCCGGGCGCGGTGCGCGCAGCTGGGCGACCTTTGCTGCCGATTTGGGCCCGAAGCGTGCTGAGCCTGGCGCGCGCAGACACGCTGGCAATGGTAGCGCAGTGCTCCGCATCAGCAGGGTGAAGAAGTACGGGCTCAGCCACGGCCTCGTCGTCTTCTCGCCCTCGTGCCTATCCTCCTTTTCTCCTCCCCCCCTTCTACCTCCTCTTTCTCCCTCCTACCCCTCGTCTCCCAAAACGAATTTGTTTGGGGCTCGTGAGCTAGACCTTGCTCGAAGACGTTCGGGCCAGTCGGCTCCTGATGCTGTTCATCTCCTCATCGAGTCAGTTGGTTGCTGCCTGCTGCTCTTGAGCTGTTCATCATGGCTGCTGTTTCTCTCCTCCTCATCGATAGATCGTCAGTTTCGTCCTCATCATCTTTCGCCTCGTCCACATCCTCCTCCTGGCGGCAGTGGTTTGGGTAAGCGTGATCCTCCCGTCGATCTCGCCGATTATTGTGGCTTCCAGGGCCGCTGGGAAGCTCTACGCCGAGGCGGCTGGGCTACCCTCGGTGAAGGACAAGCTTGGACCACCTCATTTACACATAGCGCGCGCAGGGTTCAAGTGTCTAGTGGAAGCCGAATCGAGCACCAAAATCGGGGGGGGAAGCGCTGGAAGTGGTACAGTTGTTCTACAGCAAATTCGTACAGAAAGGACAGATGCAGGAGCTCGGATTGTCGATCCGACACCACCGCTGCAAGAAGTGCTACAACGAGGACATGACACGCCTTCAGTTCGCCATAGTGGACGGGGTCAACCTGCAAAACGACAGCGGCGAGCCCACAACCTACTCAAAGCTGATGATCGAGAACGCGACGGTGGTGCTGCTCAGGGGCATGGGCGGTACACTCAAGCAGGGGACGGCGCCGCAGGGTCATCTCGAGAACCTCGCACAGAAGATGCTGGACAAGCACAAGCTGGGCGGCAAGGGCAGAGGCAAGAAAGCGACGGCGTGACCTCAGAGACGTGGGAGATGCGACTGGCGGCTTTGCAAGCACGTATTGCGGCAAAGGAACTGGCAAAATCCTAGGCGCTGCCTAGGTTCAGACGTCGCCATTGTTTTCGCCATACGCCCCGAACAAAATCCTGAGCTTCCTCAGGTTCATTAGTCGCCATGACGCTGGACGCAGGAAAAACTCCACACTACCTTGATTGGGATGGTTGTCTTTACATAGATATTCATAGATGGGCTGTTCTCGGACGATGACCACGCCCAGCTGACCTCCACTGTCGGCCAGATCGGGAACCCAGATCGTAACCTCTTGCTCTGGTCCCCCCTCGCCGCGATGGGCATGGTAATGGCTGTGTTCTGGTTCGTTCGGCCCCTCGACATCTAACCTTGAGGCCCCGCCCGCCACGCTCGACAAGGCGGGAGTGTTCGCTTTGCTGTCTACAGTCGGTCTTGTCCTCCTGCGGATCCGAACCCGCCGAAGGGCCCACTCCGACGCTTGCCTATCGGATGCCTGCGGGGCCCGAGTGTCAGGTGTTGGGGAGGGCCCTATCGGCTGGGTTGCCGATCAGACCTCCATATATATTCATTTCCTTTTTTTTCAGGGCTGGGTGGATGCCTCGGGAGCCTGCCTGGCACACACAATGCCGCGAGGTTTCGGCCCCTTCGGGGCCAGAGGGGTGTCCCCCCCAGCCAGCGTGTGACACTGAATATTGCGCACAGCCCCGATACACACGTGTCGAGCGCTGCACGGCGCGCGTAACCCGTAACGTCGCATTGTAGATATGCGATCGTTTGAGTTTGTAGTTCTGCACGCGTATCACACCATGTGTAGAGCTGCGTCACCCCAGCACACGCGCAAGGCCGAGTCCTATCCTATCCTATCCTCCTCCTCCCCCTCCTCCTCCCCCTCCTCCTCCTCTTTGTCCCATGCCCCCGCCTCCAACCTCGCCCTTCTGATTTTTATTCGTCGTCTGTTTCTTCTTCTTGTTCATCCTTGTTTTCCTCCATCCCCTCCTTCCTGTCCTCCCAGAGCCACCCAGGCACCCACCCAGCAGAGCTGCAGCGCATACCACTTTCACCCCCCACACGCCGCGTCGGTGCTTAAGGTCGTCCGCACCGTCGTGATGCGCCCCCCTTGAGTGAAGCGTGCTACGACGTTTTGCCTCATCATTGGACGCGATGTTGTTCCTCAACGTCTTGATGCGGTTTTGTCTAGTGAGGCTTAATACCACGGTGTGCCTCACAACCATTTCGGGGTGCTCCTTCCCAGACACGGATCCCTGGACCCCGCCATTGTTCTTACGCGTCCCCCTCCTCCTCCTCCTCCTCCTCCTCCTCCTCCTCCTCCTCCTTATGGTCGGCGTTGGAGCTCAGGCACATTGAGCCCCGACGCAGGGAGGCTTTTCATTTACCCTTTCAGACGAACTGCGGAGTTTGACAGCCACACAGGTTGTTCTGCCGGGGCCAGGGGAGGAGAAGGAGACACAACAACACATAACACTCCCTGCAGCCCTTCCGATACCGCATTTTTTTTTTTTGCGATCCTCTCTAGAGTGACTGGGTCGTAATCGGGTAATGGTTTTTCATTGTGCCGTATGTTTCCGAATTCCGATGGAATTTTTGAGTCTGACCTTGAAAAATTGACGAGTCAAAGACGCACAGAACGGATCCGCCGTACCCATACCCAGAAATGCCAGTTTGCCAATATTACAATATGTGAGCAGTTGGTTGCAGTCGCCCCGGGACCCTCTGCTTGTGAGACAACCTCGGCAGAAAGAGGGAGAAAGAGAGAGAGAGAGAGAGAGAGAGAGAGAGAGAAAGCGCAGGAACCGCCGCCACCGAGTGCGCAGATGGGCGCCGACATCGAGGTGGACAACAGCGACGGCGAGAGGGGCGGGCAGACGACAGCGGGGGAGTTTGCAGAGCTTGCTCGGCGCTTCCTTCCCCCAGCGTCCCGCGGGGCCAAGGGGAAAAGCTGCCAGGGGAGTTTGCAGAGCCGCTTCGGCCCCCCTCGGCACCTGCGCCCGCTCGGGCCTGGGAGCAGCCTGCCCCAACTACCAGCGAATCCAATCGTTTGACACATTTGTTCCACGAGATAGACCAACAACTTCGCGCATGGAATTCGATTGGCCCTGCTTCGCACTCGCGCGTGCGCCGGCGAGCAAGGTTGGACGACGCCAGCCCGAGGGAAGTTTGAGGCCCCCAGGTTCGGAAGCAGCCAGCGGGTGCCGATGAAGATCTCCGATGCCCATGCCCAGGCCGAAGCACTTAGAAATGTTGTCCCAGGATATCGAAGCACAGCTGAATCAATGGAACGCGAGCGGCCCGGCTTTGCAATCGTTCGTTCGCCGGAGGATGAAGTTGGATGAACCTCGAAAGCCCATGGGCTCCCGCGGCGAGACGGGCGAGAAGGAGGTCGAGGACGACGGTCGCCAAGCCGACACTTTGGAAACGTTGCCCCCGGTTCGCCGGAGAGCGAAAAAGGTCTGGGGAGATGGGGGCCCCGAGTTTCAGAGTCAACCGACTGGCGCCGATGACGAATTTCGAAGAACCATGCTCCTCAACGATGACCCTGAGGTCGCGGCGCTTCTGGGGTTCTTCAGCATTGCAGCGACCCGCGAAGGAGCCACTAAGGGCGTCTTGCAAGCAGTGCGCACGGAAGGGGGGGTGTCCATTGGGTTCTTTGTTGAAGTGCTAAAGTTTCTCTGCTTCGCAAAGGGATTGCGCTGGCGCGGAGGAGGTGGGGGGGGAGTAGGCCATTGAGGCGGAGGGGCAGGCGCAATTTCCCAGCGGGGGCTCCCTCTTACCTCCCAGTGGTTGAATGCGCAGCTGTTGAAGGGCTTCTCATCAATGTCGGCCATTATTCTTCTATTCTTCCTCGGATGATTTACGATGCGAATCCGCCGGCAGCGGCGCAGTCCGCACTTCGCCAGAAGTGGAAGCCAGGCTGGGGGGCAAGTGCGCAACTGCCGCCGCGCGAATATTAAAGCGCAGGCCAATGAGCACGCCTAAATTGGAGACGACTACACACGCGCAGCCACTTATTCCCTACCTAGGCTGTGCCTAAAGGGTTCTTGCCGTGTGAGCTCAAGGGGCCGGGCAGTGGAACTCGCCCCGGGCGGTTCCCCAGGATCCGCCCCGCGGTTCCCCCGGCGTCCCCCGCTTTGCCTAGCCTAGCTCAGCTTAGCTTAGCTTAGCCCAGCTCAGCCCAGCTCAGCTCAGCTTAGCTTCGCTTAGCTAGGCTTAGCTTATCTTAGTTTGGCTTAGCTTAGCTTAGCTTAGCTTAGCTTGGCCTAGCTTAGCTTAGCTTAGCTTAGCTTAGCTTAGCTTAGCTTAGCTTAGCTTAGCTTAGCTCAGCCTAGCTTAGCTTAGCTTAGCTTAGCTTGGCCTAGCTTAGCTTAGCTTAGCTTAGCGTGGCCTAGCTTAGCTTAGCCCAGCTCAGCCTAGCTTAGCTTAGCTTAGCTTAGCTTAGCTTAGCATCGCTTAGTTTAGCTTAGCTTAGCTTAGCTTGGTTTAGCTTAGCTTGGCTTCGCTTAGCGGTGCGTAGCCTAGCTTAGCTTAGCCTAGCCTAGCCTACCTTAGCTTCGCTTAGTATAGCTTAGCGTAGCTTACCTTAGCTTAGCTTAGCGCAGCGCAGCGCAGCATAGCGCATATCAGCACGAACACAGCACAACGTAGCATATCATAGCCACTCATAGCATAGCGTAGGATAGCATAGCTCAGCATAACATCGCATATCATAACATAAAATAGCGAGCCGTCGCATAGCATATCAAATCATAGCATTGCTTAGCATAGCACAGCGCAGCATATCATAGCATAGTATAGCACATCACATCAGATCATGTAATCGCATAGCATATCGCATCATCGCATATCATCGTATATCATAGCAAAGCGCTGCATAACATATCGTAGAATAGCCTGGTATAGCAAAACATCGCGCAGCATATCATAGCATAGCATAGCATATCGCAGCATCGCATATAATAGCATAGCGAAGCATCGCTTAGCTTACCTTAGCCTGACTTAGCGCAGCGCAGCATAGCGCAGCGCGGCACTAGCACAGCATATCATAGCATAGCATCGCCAATCATCGCATATCATAGCGTAGCATAGCATAGTATCGCATATCAGATCATGCAACGCAAAAGCCACACCAATGCGAAAGTGTAGGTGTGTATGTAGTTGTAGGTGTAGGTGTAGATGTGGAGGTAGGTGTAGATGTATATGTAGATGTAGATGTAGTTGTAGATGTAGGTGTGGATGTAGATGTAGATGTGAGTCTCGCTGTTGATGTTGTTATAAATGTAGATGGAGGTGTAGATGTTAATGTAGCTGCCGGTGTAGATGTAGATGTTACTTTCCTAGATGCTCCAACTCCTAGGTCGGGTCGCACTGGGATAATTTCTTTGGATGGAGATGCCGCGCGAATCTTCAGCATGCGCCGCATGTTTTTTTGTTTCCAGATTTTCTGAGTTATTGAGTGCGACCTTGCAGAAGACGACAAGACGAAGTGACGGGCGAGCCGGCGCGAGGTGAATTCAACAAGAGCAGGAGCCGTGCATTTCTGAGCGCGTTTGGCGCGGGGGAAAGCATCTGTCTTGGCGCAGGGGGCGCCGATCGCACTAGCGAGGGTATCTCGGTGTGCATGGTGCCCCCCTCTCTTCTCTTCCTCTTTCCTTTCCCCCCCGTAGGATACAGAAAGGAATTCGGCTCGCGAATGTAAGGAGGGGCTCAAGGAATCCTCCTTTTTGCGCAGGCCCGCTCGCACGCGCCATTGGCAACGCAGTGCCAGTGGCGCCGCGCCCCTTGATTTCATCGGGGAGCTATTGACTGGTAGCGCAGGGTTCCCTGCGAACGGTCTGGGCTGGGGGGGTGAGGGCTCGGGGTGAGGAGGGCAGCGTGCGCGCCTCTGCGCAGGCCTTGGCAGTTCACTCGATACGATGTCGAAGGGCTGTCGGGTCTTTGTTGCGTAACACCCACGCAGGGGAATTACGCATACGCTCTACACTCCCCCATAGCGGGCGCATTGACGTTGACCCCTATCATGTGGATGTCCTGTCCTGTCCTGTCCTGTCCTGTTCTCTTCCGTCTCCTCCACCCAGAGCCACCAAAACGCACCAATTCAGCAAAGCTGAAGCAAAACCCGTGTTCAATCCCACGCGCTGGACCAGTGCTGCGCGTAGTTCCTACCGTTGTCGTGCGCTTTTCTCGAGTGCGGTGTGCTCGTGCCTTACAGGTGGATGCGGTTCTCCGGGTGGAGCTTGATGCGGTGCTGACCTCTCCGGCGTGCGGCGGTTTTCTCTTGTGAGGTGTCATGCAACGTTGTGCCGAACAATGCCCCATGTCAGACAGGGACCCCCGTGCGCGACTGCAGGAACGGCGATCCTACACCCAGAGTGCAGGAGCCAGCCACTCACAGTTGTTCTTGGGATGGGGCGAGGGGCCCATCCCAATAACAGTTACAGTGATGGAGCGCAGTTGATGTTAAACATGTTGCTCTCGCATTAGCGTCACGCACATGCGTCTCATCAGGTTGCAGTAGCTTCAAGGGTGGAGGGGTGTGTGTTTAAATAAATGATTTTCGCATTCGGTTTGCGCGCGTTTTTCCTAACAGCTTGCAACGTGTAGTGTGATGGAGTACTCATGGTAGTTCAATTTTGGCTCTCGCCTCAGCGCCGCGCGCATTCGTTTCAAACGTTCGCAACAGCTTCAAGGTTGGACAGTGGTTCCGTTTCCTCTTTTTCTAGCGCGGCGAAAAAAAATGTGCTAGCAACTCACAGTTGTTTTTGGGATGGGGCCAGGGGCCGTCTTCAACTTGTTGCTGCCGCTTCAGCGCCGCGCGCATCCACCACCACAACTGAGCCGATCATCCAGCAGGACGCGTGGGCAGAAGAGTGCGCAAGCGGCCACCCTTCGGAAAACATGCAATGAGGACGACGGCGCGGAGACTCGATTGTGAAGCAGAAGCAACATGCGTCACAGGCGCGAGCGCTTCACGACTGTGAAGCAGAAGCCACAGTTGCACCGGTTTCAGGGCTGGACGGGGGAGTCGTTTTCAGCAAGGTGCTCCCGGTCACGGCAGGTTCGGGCCGTGCCGCCGCGGCGGCGACCTTACGGTGGAACCGGCCGATGTCGCACGATCGGGGTTACCGGGCAGCTTCGACCGCTTAAGGTGGAAGGACCCGCACGGTGGCAGAAATCAACGCTCGGGTCGTCGCCGCACGGATGTGCAGTACCAGTTTGCACTACACTCAAGATGTGTCGTACCAGTTTGCCAGTGTGCCGTGCCAGTTTCCAGTGTGCCGTAACGATGGACGGCAGTTCTGTTTCAAAGTGTGGGTGGCTCGCGCAGTCGGGCCGTAGCGCCGCGGTGGTTCTGTTGGAGATTTTGCAGCAGCTTCAGAGATTGGGCACAGGTCGTGAAGAGTTGTGGGGCGTTCTTATTGTATACTGAGACATTGTAGAGAGGTGGCTGGTGGCGAGCTTTCAACGTGTGGCTCTCGCCCGAGACGTCGTCAGCTGTCAAGGTCCAGACCATCCACACATGTGGCGCTGCACGGATCCATGGCGTGTTTCTTCAACCAGGAGCTCTCGCTTGAGACTTTGACGCAATTCATGACCACAAATGGAAGCCTGTGAAACAGCTGCACGGGTCGGGTGTGGCCCTTCGTCGAAAGGGTGGTTTCGTTGGACATCTTGTTGAATTGTATGGTTCTAGTTGTCCGCATTCCTGATTTCACAATTTAGTGCTTTTCCAAGACGGGCCCTCGCCAACATGGCATGTGCGACAGCGCTGGCCTTTTACGGGGGGCGCTTCTTGTAGTGAAAGGGACAGTTGTGTCGGCACGTGTGAGGAGGGGACTTGGGACGGGAGGGTGTACTGCAGCGTCGCCGCTGCACCTTAGCCTTACTCTGTTTCTCCCTCCTCCTCCTCCTCATCGTTTTTCTCCTTGTTCTTCTCATCCGTCACCGTCCTCATCTTCCTCATCCTCCTCATCCTCTTTGTCCTCTTTATCCTCATCATTCTTCTCTTAGCTTACTCCTCCGCCTCTTCCTTCTTATCCTCCCCATCCCCTTCATCTTCCTCGTACATATCCTTCTCCCCTTCCTCCTTATCCTCCCCATCCTCCTCCCCTTCCTTCTTATCCTCCTCCCCTTCCTCCTTATCCTCCTCCCCTTCCTCCTGATCCTCCCCTTCTCCTCCTCCTCCTCCTCCTCCTCCTCCTCCTCCTCCTCTTCCTCCTTTTCCTCCTCCCTGTCCCGGCGCCGTCCGCGGCACGACGAAGCGCGCAGAGGCGCGGCTCGCGGCCGCTGAGGACACTCTGCGCGCGGAGCGGGTGGAGCTCGAGCTCGTCAGGCGCGGTCCTGGCCTTCCGCCCTTCGTCGTCGTGTTCCTCCTCCTCCTCCTCCTCCTCCTCCTCCTCCTGCTCTTCGTCCTGTCCGTCGTCCTCCGCCTCCGCCTCCTCCGCCTCCCTGGTGTGCCCCCCCCCCCCCCCTCTCTCCCTCCCTCGCACTCGTGCTCCTCCTCGTCGACCTCTCCGCCTTGTTCTCCCTCAGCCTGTGTGTGTCCGTCGTCGCCCTCTTTTCTTCTCCGCCTTCTCTCCTCCTTCTCCTCCTCTTCCTCCTCCTCCTCATCCCCCATTCTCCTCCCTCCCACTTTCAATCCATCTGCCTTCTCCTTTTCCTCCCATCCTCATCCTGATACTGGTCTTCATCCTCTTCCCCCCCCTCGCCTTCTCTATCATCTTCCCCCTCTCATTTTATCCTCCTTCCTTCGCATTCTCCCCTCGCCCTCTCCTTCTTCCCCTTTTGAAGAGGGCCTTTTCCTCCCCCCCTCCTCCTCCATACTACCTCTTCTCCCTCCCCTTTCCCGCACTCTCCTCCACCGCCTCCTCGAACCCTCCCCCTCCCGTCCTTCTCCTCCTGTCCATCTCCACGCCCCATCCTCCGCATGACCTGGGGGACGGTGTAGCTGGCAGGGCCCGCCCTCTCGGCCAGCGCGGAGGTGCGCGACCAGGCGCTTCGCTCCCGCAGCGGGGAGCGCAGGGGAGGAGGTCGGCAGCCGTCCAGGGGGCCCCGCTCGCGCTCCGGCCTGGCGCCCGCGCGCGGGGGGCCGCGCGCGCGCGCGCGGGTGGACCGGGGGCGCCCGAAGGCGCTGCGGAGGAGGGAGGTCGGCAGAGCAGCGGACGCGGACGCTGCGGACAGCGGGCAGCTCCGAGAGACGAGGTGCGCCCGCAGACCGCCGCGAGGGCTCGCGGAAGGCGTGCGGCCCAGCAGCAGCAGCCCGGCCGCCCAGGCCCACCAGCGGAGGGAGTTCGGGCGTTAGCGGTGGCACTGGCTGAGCTGCGCGACGGGGCCGACGCGACGTTCGGACTGCAGTGCAGCGGCATCATGCGTCTGCAGGGCCAAGCGATCCCCATCCCAGTGATCCGGGATCTCTGCCCTGTCATCCTTGGGTTGTCCTTAATTTGCAGGCGACCGATGCATTGCAGGCGGCGTTATATTAGCAGATCCACATCACCGTGCGTCACAGGAAATGCAGTTGACAGGTCGCTGCTATGTGCAGGGAGCCCAGAGGTTGAGGAAGGACCACGCCGACGCGATCAAGAACAAACGATCCCATGCCATTGTTGGACAAACCCGGCATTCCTTATCCCCACTTGTGGTTGGCCTTGGTGGGGGCCGTGGTAGGGCAAGGCCTCGCGTGCGGAGAGGCCAACCATCGGGTTGTCAAGTCCTACGTACTTCGAAGCGGTCAAGGGAGACGACACAATCACGAGCGACGAGCTGTGCGAGCAGTTCTGTCATTGCCGCTTGTCGTTCGCTCACGGCCGCCAGGTGATGAATGTCCATACTGGGGCAAAGGAGACGGGAGTGCAGTCTCAGTTGCCGGACTCCTTGAAGCACATATGCGCAAAGCCGGGAGAAGGGAACGCCTCCGAAGTCGCACCACGAGAGGCTGATGGCGGACCTCCGTGGCGCCCACGAGTTCGAGGGTGATACCGACCTCGGCCACGATGGCCAGCAGCGGGTCGGGGGCGTCGGTGGCGCCGAAAGGGCCGACCTGGCCGAGGACCGTTCGTGCTCTAGCGGCGCCCGCTGTGCTTGCGAATCCAGGCGCCGAGCGCTGCTGCCGCCCCGAGTCAGTTGTGGAATGCGTCCCCAGGCGTATAGGATTGGAAATTTCCGAGCTTCCACCCTTCCTCCACCTGCTCCGGTGCCTCCGACCCCTCGCCACACCTCCTCTGCTTCTCTCCATGCGAGCACCGGGAGGCTTGTAGAAACTCGCTCCAGGCATGACGAACATGATACACACACAGACCCATAGGGATACGGAGGAGGCTATCATTGCGTGCTGTCGGAAGGGGGCCCTGGCTCGAACGGGAGCCTCCCCCGCGGTCCGACAACCCGCACCCATAGCCAACACCCCTATGGTCTGGGTGTGTGTTGTGCGTTCGTCACGACAGACCCCACAATGCCGCCGCTGTGTTAAGCCAGTAATCCTCCCACCGTCCCCCCTATGGTCTGGGTGTGTGTTGTTCGTTCGCCACGACAGACCCCGCAAGGACGCCGCTGTGTCTCCTCCTCCTCCTCCTCCTCCTCCTCTTCCTGACTTGCTGTCCTGGGCCCGCCCTCTTGCCTCTCGCCGCCCGCCTGCCGTGGTCCTGGGGTCGACGCGTTCTGTCGCGGTCCGGGGTCGCGCGTCATGCTGGCGCGAAATTCACCCAGACATGATCGGGGTCGTCGAAAATCCAGGGCGGGAGGTAACAAAAAAAATCAGTGCGGGAGGTTTTTGGCAAATTTCGTTGCCCCGGGACCGTAAATGCACGATTCGGAACGGAAGCCCGCCCCAGGGAAAGGGTCGGGACTTCCAGGACCGCGTATTGAAAACAAAACGTCGTACGTCTGGGTAGTAGGCGTGAGTGGTTTCCGTTGCTGCTCAGTTTCGTGTCTCGGATCTGGTCGTTCCCTGAGTGTTATGCCCGCTACATGTTCGCAGCTCAACAATTTGTAGTGAGTGTGTGTGTGTGTGTGTCGGTCGGTCGTCTCTGGCCCCAAGGATACCTACGATCTTGGTGCCGTGGGACGTTCGTGCCATCCCATGTGCTAAGCACCGCCACAGTTGCGCACTGGAGGACCTTGGGCGAACTATGTGTCTTCGAATGTGGCACAGTTTGCCTCGTGTTCCTGACGAGCCCGCGACCGCTTCGCCCTCATCTTCCTCCGCATTGGAAGCACCTTGATCACCGTCTCCACCCGCACCATCATCACAACCACCACCATCGCCACCATCGTACCATCATCGTATTACAGTCAACGCGCATAGTAAGGACAAGCGACTTTTTCAAGGGTGCCCTTGGGTCCTTGCTTGCCTCAGCCTCTGCGGCCCGTCCCTAGCAGTTTTGGCAGGCCAGAATACTTCAACTTCGGCCTCCAAGGGTCTCGCGTCCTTACCACGCGTCCTTACTATACGTTTTCACTGTATCATAACCGTCGTAGTCGTAACCGCCATTATAATGGGCCGGAGCTCGGCGAATCCTCGGACAACACCCCAGGCGGCGATGGGCGGCAAGAGGGCGGCAACCGTCTGGAACGTGGCGCATCCTCGTGACACCCATCCGATACCGCAGGAGCGCAAGCAAGATCCCTTAAGTGCAAGCATTGTTTCGGGATTCGCCACCACCATCTCCATGTTCCGTGCTTCCATTATTTCTTTCATGTTCCTCCACATCGGAATCCCCATGATCACCATCCTCAACCGCACCATCATCATCACCACCAACGCCATCGCCACCAACACACCACCATCACACCACCAACCTCGTCGTCATCACCGCCGTCATCACAAGTGCCAGCACCACCACAACCACCACCACCACCACCAACATCAGCACCACCACCATCGCCATCGCCACCATCGCCACCACCAAACCACTATCATACCGTCAGCATCGCGACGACGACCACGCCGACGCCGACGCCGACGCCGACGCCGACGCCGACGCCGACGACGACGACGACGACGACGACGACGACGACGACGACGACGACGACGACGACGGCGCCGACCTCCCGTGGCCGCGAAGCGCAGGCGGCAGCTGGCGGGCGAGGAGCGGCGCGCCGCCCACCAGGCCGAGCTGCTCGACGGGCAGGCCGAGCTGCGCGCGCCGGGCGGCCCCGCCTCCCGCTGGCCCCGCCGCTCGTTGGCCCCGCCCGCTCTCGTTGGCCCCGCCCCTCTCGTTGGCCCCACCCTCTCTCGTTGGCCCCGCCCCTCTCTCGTTGGCCCCGCCCCCTCTCGTTGGCCCCGCCCCTCTCTCGTTGGCCCCGCCCTCTCTCGTTGGCCCCCCCTCTCGTTGGCCCCGCCCCTCTCTCGTTGGCCCCCCTCTCTCGTTGGCCCCGCCATCTGTCGTTGGCCCCCCCCTCTCGTTGGCCCCCCCTCTGATTGGCCCCCCCTCTCGTTGGCCCTCCCTGTCGTCGGCCCCCCCCCCTGTCGTTGGCCCTACGGCGGCTTGTGGCGTTCCCGTTTTGGGACTCGACCCCTCGCCCTGCCCCCCCACCCCCCCCAAAAAGAGGGGGGGGGCATGAGAGGGCAGAGCGCCCAAGAAGGCCGAATGTGGCTTCGGCTATCTAAAGATGGTCTCCAAGGGGCACAACATTTTCCAAGGTGGTTCAAGGTGTCGTCGAGCATGCCAAGAGACTCCTGAGACGGCCCAAGAGACCCAAGAGGCCCGATGAGGCTCCGAAGAAGCCCCCTCTCGAGTCATACAAACTTGTGGCGGGCGGTTCTTTGCAATTGTCGGCCTCTGGGGACCGTCAACAAAACGACTCAGGACGAAAAGCCGGCCTTGGGGAGGGAAGCGGTCCAAAGCGTCCGTGTGAACACCCTGCGTGTTGGGTCGGCCCGTGTTGTTCCACGTTTTGGCCAACGCGTCTCGCCAGACCTACGTACGGTTTCTGTCTACGTGTTGAGCTCCGTGTCAACACTCTGCGGGTTGGGTGATGCGTGTTGCGTTTCGGGGCAGCTGAGCTCCTTCCTGCTCTGATCCCCGAGGCGTCTTCGGCCACGCGGGCGCGCTCTTCCCAGACCCGGCCGCTCCCATTTCTTCGATGCGTGGGCCCCGGAGGCCTGGACCACTCCCGTGGGGCCGGCGTTTCGTCCCGAGTCGTCTTTGGACGGCCCCGGGGCCCAGCGAGGGCCCCTGGATCGGGCGAGGTTGGGCGAGGATACATCCGTTCCAGAGCGTGCCGGAACGCTCTCAGGGCGTTCCGGAGCGCTCTCAGAAGGCCGCGCGGCGCCCGGGACGTCCTCCAGGTCTGCGAGATCCCAGAGGTTCTCGATTTACCCTTACCCGAATTTGCCCTCGCCCTGGCTTCGTCTGACCTGGAGGCCGAACACGGCTCAAGCACCGGTCGCTCCAACGTACAGTCAGCCCGCCGCATAGTTAAGAATGGGCAACCTTCCCAATCGTACCCTTGCATCCTCGCCTCCTCGGTCCATCCTTGGCCACTCTCGCTGGCCGCGCCCCGCTCGAAAAGCTTCAACATGGGCGTCCAAGGCCGGCCACGCGCAGAGGTGGGTGGGGTGAGGGGGGAGGGCTTCTTAGAAGCACCCCTGCTTCTTAGAAGGCGGGGGCCTTCTCGTGAGGCCAGCGCCTTCTAAGAAGCAGCCCCCTTCTAAGAAGCCTCCCCCCCCCTCCCCCTGCCCCCCCCTCTGCGCGCCGCCGGTAAGGCCCCTGCGTCCTCATCGCGCATCCTTCCTGTACGGGTCGACTGTACTGCTGACGCGTCGGACCTCTGGGCTCCGGGAGGCCCGCGGGGGCCCCCGCCCCTCGGGGGCCCGCCCTGCCTCGCCGCCGCTCGCCCCGCGGCGCCTCTCCCCCTCCCTCTGCGCCTCCGGGCCGCGCTCCTCCGGGCTCCCTCGGCAGCTGTGCTGTCTTGCTCGTCGGGGGTGCGCATGGAGGGAGGGTCACATATCCCAAGATGGTGGTGCTGGGGGGCGGGCACAGCCAGATGCTAGAACGTTTCACGCGCCTCCTCCTTCCAGTGGCCGTCCGGAGCGATCTTCCCTGCAACCCCACCCTGGCCCCTACAGTCAACCCCACGTGGTAAGGACGGGCAGCCTTCCCAAGGGTACCCTTGCTTCCTTGCCTCCTCGGTTCATCCTTCGCCACTTTCGTTGGCCGCGCCTCGCCCAAAAATCTTCGGAACGGGCGTCCAAGGCCCTTCCATCCTTATCGCGCATCCTTACTATACGGGTTGACTGTACCCCACCTGAGCTCGGCCCCACCGGTCGGGCCGAGGGTGCCCCGAGGCAGGGCTCAAGCCAAACGGTGGCTGGGCGATTCCTGGAACCGTTCTCCTTCGGATCTCGGCTCGCAGCACAGGGCAGAGCGAGGACAGAGCGAAGGAACACGACACCAGAACGAAAACGACGAACACGAACATGAACACGAACACGAACACGAACACGAACACGAACACGAACACGAACACGAACACGAACACACACACACACACACAACACACAACACACACACACACCGTGCAGCTCGAACCCTGCCCTGAGGATGTTCTCCGTGCCTGCGGGATGTTCTTCCGCATCCCCGGGGGGAGGGCACCATCCCTCGGATGGCGCTGCGTGTCTCGGCCGGCGGAGGGCCGCGTGTTCTCTTGGAGAGGAGGCCTGCCTGTCCCGGGTCCGGCCGTGCCTTGGGCGGTGGAGCGGTGGGGCGAGCAGGGCCCACATGTTGGCCCGCGCCCCTGTCCCCGGCACTTGCACGACGCAGTGGCACGACCGGTCTTCCGCCCGCTCTCCCTTCCCCTCTCTCTCTCTCTCGCTTTCCCTCTTTCTGCCCTCTCCCTCCCCGGTCTCCTGGTCCCTGCTGCATCTGCCCCCCCACCCCGCCTCCCTCTCCATTTCTCTTCCCTCCTCACTCCTCTACGGTCTGGTATTGGGTTTGGCAGGTATACTACAGAAGGTCCACCGAGAAAACCTGGCAAAATCTTAGGGAAATCTTCCACAGGAAACTCAAACCACCCCGGAAACACTTTCAAACAGCTTTAAACCGAAACCTGGGAAATCGCACCCCCCAACGAAAAATTCAAATCGCTAAGCCAAAACCTGGGAACATCTCCCCCCCAAAAAAACATTGAATGGAAACTCCAGAAAACAAACTTGAAGCAGAGAAATCGGGGGAAGAACAGAGAAACAACAGATGCGCGCTTAAACACTTAACAAAAAGCTGCCAGAATGTCTTGGAGATGAAGATCAATGTTTTAAAGTTCCCGAGGCCGTCAGGGTCTACTTCAGAGTTTGGTGTGTTTTTGTTTCCCAGAGTTTGTTTAGAGGTTGTCAGGCGGTCAGAGATTTGTGTCGAGTTGTTTAAAGAGTTGTGGTAGCTATTTTAGAGTTGTGAAAGTGTTTTTTGTTTTCTAGAGTTGTCAGGCGTTTGGAGTTTCTCCCGAATGTATTAAGAGGTTGCTTCAAGGATTTAAGATTTAAGCGTTCTGAGTTGTTGTAGAGCTTGTGTTCGAATTCTTGTATAGTTCTCTATAGTTGTTTCAAGATGGTTTTTTTCAGAGTTTCGTTGTCACGTTTTTTGGGGTTTAGTTTCCCCTGGCTTCGGCTTAGAGCTTAGAGATGTTTCTAAAGTCGTTTCTAGAGTTCGAGATGCTCCCAGGTTTCGGTTTAAAGTTGTTGTTGAAGTTTTGTGGGTTTGAGATTTTCCCAGGTTTTGGCTTAGAGTGTTTTTGTTTCATGTTTGGGGGGTGCGAGATTTTCGCAGGTTTGGGCTTAGATAATGTTTGAAGTTGTTTGGGGTTTGAGATTTTCGCAGGTTTTGACTTGGATTTCTCCATGTTCTTTAGAGTTTGAGTTTCTTCGCGCGATATGGGTGTGGACTGCCTGTAGTCGCTATTGTCAGACCTAAGTCTAGTACACAACAACCCCAGTCTGCTCACATCACTGTGCGATCCTCTCAGATCCAATTCTTACTCCCACATCGCCACTGCTGCCGTCGTTATCACCGACGTTGCCACGCGCATCATCATCGGCACCGTCATCGTCGCCGCCTTCATCTCCACCACCGCCATCAACTGCAGAATCTGCTCATCGTCGCGATCATTGTTCAAGGGAGCGTTGACTCGACGCCACTCAGCACAATCGACGCCGGTTGAGATGGCGGCCGCTTCTCCGGTGGACGATGAGATCGCTCTGGACGCGCTGTCCGCCTTCACCATTCGCCTGCTCTCGGCTGACATGGTTGACAAGGCCAACTCCGGGCATCTTGGCGCGCCTTTCGGCTGTGCCCCGCTCTCGAACGCGCTGTGGGGCAAGATCATGAGGTTCGTCTTCCGCCCGCTTCCATTCTTGCCCTCCTATCCATCTCGTCCTCCCTCCAGATCGCCCGCCTCTCCAATCTTCCCTTGCTCTCATCGTCGTCGTCCTCCGCCTCCTCATCATACGCATACTTATCCTTTCCTCGACCCTGTCGCCCCCGCCTTCTCATCATACTCATCCTCATCCTTTCCTCGACCCCGTCGTCGTCCTCCGCCTCCTCGTCATGCTTATCCCCATCCTCTCCTTGACCCCGTCGCCGTCCTCCGCATCCCCGTTCTACTCATCCCCATGATTTCCTCGACCTCGTTCTTTGGGGGAAAGCAAGAGGAATTCTCCCGGGGTGCGTTCCGACCGAAATTTCCAGGCGAACCCAGCGCTGGCGACGACGGCCACCCAGAATGCCCCAAACGGGGAAAACGAGAGAAGGGAAGCAGTTTCAGTGCCTTTTCCTCCTCTGAGTCTTCGTCATTCTCCCTCCTCCTGCGCTGCCAGGTTCTCCCCCACCAAGCGCTGGATCAACCGCGACAGGTTCGTGCTGTCGGCTGGGCACGCCTCCGCCCTGCTGTACTCCATGCTGCACCTGACGGGGAACGGTCTCGGCGGGCCCTACGAGGTCACCGCAGAAGCGCTCAAGCAGTCCTCCTCCCCAGAGATCCGACGCTCCCCAAAGATTGGAGCGGCCAGTTTTGGGCCGTTCTCGGCCTCCCGGGGCCCTCGCTGGGACGCTGGGACCGTCAAATGACGACTCACGACCGTAGCAACGGGCCCTGGGGAAGTGGTCCAGGCCTCTGGGGCCGACGCATCGAACAGAAATGGACCGGCCGGATGTCTGGGTCCGTTCCCTCCTCGTGCCCCTCTGCCTCCCGAGCATTTTCTTGGGGTGGAGGACAAAGGTTGAACTCTGAAGTGCCGTTTCGATGGATTTCCGAGGCTTGAGCCTGCCGGAGGTGAATCCCAAGACGGACTGACCTTCGAGGTGCAGGAGCCCGTCTGGATTTCACCCTGAGCCCTCCACTCTGAGAAAGTGCTCAGGCCTCCTCCTCCTGCCCCTCCTCGCGCTTCCCCCCCGCCCTCCCTCGAGGCCGCCGCCAGCCGCGTCCCACGCACTGCGGGTCGTCGGTCGATCCCTGGCTCTCTCTAAGTTAATCCCCTGAGCAACTGCGACTGTGGCCGCCCAAAGCGTTCAAAGCGTTCCCCCCCGCCCCTCCCTCCCTCCTCCTCCTCCCTCCTCCTCCTCTCCTCCTCCTCCTCCTCCTCCTCCTCCTCCTCCTCCTCCTCCTCCTCCTCCTCCTCCTACCTCCTACCTCCTACCTCCTACCTCCTACCTCCTCCTCCTCCTCCTTCTCCTCCTCCCACCTCCTCCTGATCCTGGCCGCCCAGAGCCCGTCGCTCGACGGCTCGCCCACGCTGCCGAGCGAGCCGCTCGGGCTAGGGCTCGGCTCGAGAGCCCCTGCGAGCCCGATCTCTTCGGTGTCGTCATCTCGTCGTCGTCGTCGTTGTCGTCGTCTCGTCGGCGTTGCGTCGTCTCGTCGTCGTCGTTTTCTCTTTCTCGTCGTCTCGTCGTCGTCGTCGCCGTCGTCGTTTCGTCGTCGTCGTCCTCGTTTCGTCGTCATCGTCGTCGTTGTGTTCGTTGTCGTCGTCGCCGCCGTGGTCGTGGTCGTGTCGTCGTCTCGTCGTCGTCGTCGTTCTCTCTTGCAGGACTTGGCCCCCACGTGTGGGCCTCGCCACCAGTCAGAGCCAGAGTCAGAGTCAGAGTCTCCACCACCTCCTCTCCCACCTCGTCGTCGTCGTCGTCGTCGTCGTCGTCGTCGTCGTCGTCCTCCTCCTCCTCCTCCTCCTCCTCCTCCTCCTCCTCCTCCTCTTGTGTGCGCCTCCGGCTCCTACCCCCCCCCCTCAGAGGAGGAACAGGTACCTTTACCGTCCCCTTGTTTTCGCCTTGTGGGACCTCTTGGGAAGCCATCGTCGCCACGGCTGGATTCGCCTTGATGTTCTTGTCAGAGCGCATGCTGGGAGATGTCCAGGGAGTAGCGGTATCGGTACCTACTGGTTTCTTTGATAGACGACGAGGAGATGGAAAAGGGAGGATTAGCTGAGGATGCGAAGGGTGGGGAGGAGGTAGAAGGAAGACACGGGATGTGATGATGCCTAGGGGGGAAGATGGTGACGAGGAGGGGTGGAGGAAGGATGGATGATCGTCGTCGTCGTCGGCGGTCAGTGTCATGTTTGTCGGCGTCCTCTGCGTCGTCAGAGGTCACCATGGACGCGCTGAAACAGTTCCGCAAGGCGGGCAGCAGCACCCCGGGCCACCCAGAGTTCCGCATGACGAGTGGCGTGGAGGTGACGACGGGCCCCCTAGGACGCGACCTGGTTGAGGCTTCGGGCTGCGCACAGACAGCGACTCCAGAAATCGGGAAGCAACCTCGCTCCAGCGGGGCCAAGTTCTCCCCGGTTGGGATGGGGATTGTTTTCCTCGTCCAGACAAACAGTGAGATAAACAAGAGAACTCGGAGGTCAGCGTGGATTTCTTGGATCGGCGCTGGGGCCCCCTGGCGGCGCCTCCGGCGCCGCCCCTGGCGCGCTCCGCGCGCCAGGGAGGAGGGTTCAGCGCCGATGCGAGAAACTCGAGCGGAACTTCGAGTTTTTATGTTCATGTCGTTGGCTCGTTCCCCTGCGATAGTCCCAGCTGGCCTCAACAGGCCCCACCGAGCAGTCCAAGCTGGCCTCAGCAGGCACCCCGCGCCAGGGCGGCCTCGACGCCCCGGCGCTGCCTCCGACGGCGCCCCTGGGGCGCTCCGCGCCCCAGGGTTGGGGTTTTGAAGCCGCCCGGGACTATGGTCGGTCCGAGGTGTGAGATCGAGGTCGGCTCAGGGAGGGTGCCTTGGTGTTCTTCGTGTCTGTTGGTTGCTCTTGCGCATCGTGGAGAGGGGTCCCTTCGAATGTTCTTCGGTTTGGCCGGCGGAGGGCCTCATGTTCTTGAAGAATGGTATTCTGTCCTTGGTCCGGCTCTGCTCGGGGGGCCTGCTGGGGGCAGCTGAGCTCTGGGACTGCTCGAGGTGCCTCTTGAGGCCAGCCGGGACCACCTTGAGGGGGCTGTCTGCGCGCAGGCTGGAGCCAGACCACAGAGAACACGAGGGGGGGAAGGGTGGGGATCGCGAGAAGGGCGATGACGAAGAGACCGATAAGGAGGACGAGGGGGGCGTGACCTCGGGAGGAGGGAGGGGGACGACGAGGCCTTGGAGCTGTTGAAGTTGTTCTCTATGATTTCGGATGATGTTCTAATGCTTTCGACGGCTTCCGAGCGTTTCTGGCGAGATGCGGAGAGGAGGAGGAGGAGGAGGAGGAGGAGGAGGAGGAGGAGGAGAAGGAGGAGGAGGAAAGGAAGAGGAGGCGGAGGAGGCGGAGGAGGTTTTGTGGATGAGGAGGAAAAAGAGGAGGAACGAGCACGGCAATGGAAAGAGGGGAGGGAGAAGGAGGGGATGCGTGAGGAGGAGGAGGAGGAGGAGGAGGAGGAGGCCCTAACCACTGCCCCAGAACAAGTGAAGCCAACGACAAGACAAGGGTCCCATGCGCTGCAAGCTCGGTGGCGGACTGTGGAACTGTCATCCTGGAGAGGCATGGCGCAAGCGGGATCCTCTTGTGTACACAATGTTAATTTTTGATCATTCGAAAGTTATTTGATTTTTGGGGGGGCCAAGATCCTTTCATTTCTAATTGTTCTATCCTGGGCCTCTTCCTGGCCACTAGGGGGCCAGGAACAATTAGAAACGAGCACAATTGGAAATGAACACGATTAGAAATGAACGACGTGTACCGTCTCGCTCAGTTCTGGCCACCAAGGACAGGGTTTCGCCAACGCGGTAGGCATGGCCATCGCGGAGGCGCACTTGGCTGCGCGCTTCAACCGCAAGGACTTCCCGCTGTTCGACAACTACACTTTCGTACTGGCTGGCGACGGCTGCCTCATGGAGGGCATTTCGACCGAGGCCGCCTCGTTGGCTGGGCACCTCAAGCTGCATAAGCTCATCGTCTTCTACGACGACAACAAGGTCACGATCGACGGCACCACAGACATATCTTTCTCGGAGGACATCCCCGCCAAATTCGCAGCCATGCGCTGGAACGTCCTGCACATACCGAACGGCGATGAGGTCGATGCCACCGTCTACGAGAAGGTGGTGCAGGAGGCCAAGTCCCAGACCGAGAAGCCCACGATCGTGGTCATGAAGACGACCATCGGGTGTGGCGCGGGGGTTGGCATCGAGGGGGCGGCCAAAGCCCACGGCGGCAAGTTCTCCACGCTGGAGGCCATCCGCCAGAAGTGGTTCTCGCCCGCTGGCCTCAGCAAGCTCGGTGGGGCCGTCGAGCAGCGAGTTGCCGCCCTGGTGCAGAGCGAGCTGGACCACCTGTCCAGCGACCCCTGTGCGAATGGATCCAAGCCAACGGTCCTTCCGAAGTTCTACGTGCCGCGCCCCGTCATGAAGAGGTTCAGGGACGCGGGCGCAAAGGGCGACGTCATGGCGGAGGAGCCGGCTGTTGCCAATCTTGAGGAGGCTGAGGAGAATTAGCAGGACGATGAGGAGGATGCATCATTAAGGTGGAAGGGGCGATGATGGTGATGAGGATGAGGAGGAGGAGGAGCAGCAGTTTTGCCAGGCTGCCTGTGATGGCAGATGGGTCGACCATTCCCACTGTGTGTTCATACCGCGGGTCAATGACAGTCCTTTGAATTTGCACAGTGGGAACCCATGCCAAGAAGCACCTTGCTCGCCTCCAGGGTGCCCTGGGTGTTCTGGGCTTCGATGGTTTTGCTATGGAAAGCGTGACGTTCCCACGCCAGGAATCACCAACAATCAATGCACGTCCTGGGGTCTCAGGGTTGGGTTTCTTGTGCAAGGTTTCTTGTGGTCGAGCTCCTACTGTATGTGCGTACCACGTAATATGGGGACAGGAGGCAAGACGCGCCTGTAGCGGAGGGGAACGTTGTTCTGGGCATTGCGGATGGATGCCGCACCATCGGCAACATCTCCTGGACCGTCATCGTCGTTTTGCCAGCATGCCTGCCGCGGTGAACCTTCGTAGTCGTCATCACCGTGGATCATCGATGCAGTCTTGTTTGCGCCTGCCACCCATCCGATGCGCTCATCTTGCCCGCCCCCCAGCCAACTCCCAGCGGAGACATGCCCTGGGGCTCTCTGGATGAGTAAGGTTCTTGGCCTTGATGTCTGGATCGGCATATCTTTGCTGTTTCAGGACAATCCAAGCCCGATCGATAAAAGAACGTAGGACAGGACCACGTGCCGTTCCGTTTCAAGGCCTCCGCGATCACTGAAGTCCCAGGCCATTCTCTGGCCGAGTCTCATTTTCCAAGGACACTTCTTGTTTACAAGCGGACGTGTTATTGTTCATCGCCTCTCCTCCCCACGAGGCTGCGCTTGCTTTTGCCGCTACCGCTGTTCCGTATTTTCCCTACCTGGCTCAGCCCTTCTCTCTCTCTCTCTCGTCATCCCCCTCTTTATTCTTTATCCCCCTTCCCCCATCGTCATCGTCCTCCTTTTTCTCGAGCCGTCGCAGTGTGCTAGCAGATACCATCAGGGTGGTCCTCTCCCCTCTTTCTCTCTCCTTCCAAGCTGCCCTCCCTCTCCCCCTTTCCTTTCCAGCTGCTGGTGCTGATGTTCCAGTTGTGTTACCCTCCATTCTCCTCGCCGAGATGGGGTGGTCGCCGCCCCTCCTTTTCCTACTCGGACGTCCTCCTTGACTGCATCTTCGCATTCCCAGGAGTGGGAAAAGATGGTAGAGAAGTACTGCCAGACTTTCGCAAGCTCCGACCCAGACTTGGTGAAGGACTTGAAGGCCAGAATGGACGGCCATTACGTGTCCGACGAGTGGGATCGTGCTCTCGCGGATCTCCTCAGCAAGGAGAAGGCTGACATCGAGGCAAACTTGAGAGAACTGTCCAACACTGTCGAGCTGCCAGACAACGGTATGGGTTTGGAACCCAAGATGAAACGTAGGAAGACGTTCGACAGCGGCTTCAAGTACAAGGCTGGTCGGGTCTACGCGTCCCAGGTGTTGAAGTGCTTCGCGCAGCACAACCCCGCGGTGATCGGTGGCTCTCCCGACGTGGCCAGCTCCTGCGGCGCCCACTTTCCCGACATCCAGGGCCACTTCTTGCCCCCCTCCTACGCCGAGAAGTACAAGGGCGCCTCGTACGGTGGCCGGTACATCCACTTCGGTGTCCGCGAGCATGCTGCGCTGGCGATCTTGAACGGCATCTCCTCCAGCTCCTTCCTCATCCCCTACAGCTCGTTCTTCACGATCTTCTACCAGTACGGCCTCCCAGCGGTTCGCATGGCAAGCATCTCGAAGTTCCCCGTCCTGTACATCGGCACGCACGACTCCATCGACTTGGGGGAGGACGGGCCCACGCACCAGCCGGTCGAGGTGCTGCCGCAGCTACGCGCCATGCCCAACCTCCTGGTCATCCGGCCAGCGAACGTCGCCGAGACGGTGGGCGCCTTCCAGATCTTCGCGGAGCAGTACCAGAACTGCAAGACAGAGCAGCAGTACATAGACCCGAAGCCGCTCAAGCGACGTCCCGTGTTCATCATGACGTCCCGCGGCGAGCTGGGGGTGCCCTACAAGCCCAGCGCGAATGTGGAGGGCCAGGACGGCGTCAAGCGAGGAGCTTACGTGATCCACGAGTGCTACGACCGCAAGAACGGGGCGGACGACAAGACCAGCCTGGCGTGCCTGCCGGACATTGTGCTCATCGGCAGCGGCCAGGACGTGGCTCTCGTCATGAAGACGAAGGAGCTCCTGCTGCAGTGGTCTGCCGATTTCAACGCTCGGCTGAAGGGGGCGTTCGACGGATATCCGAAA